GATTTTATGGAATTTGGGTGGGGGTTGTTTTGCGGGCGCGTCGTTGATGCAATGTAAGTGCGTCACAGGGCGATGATAAGACGACGGCCGAAGAAAACGGAGGCTCGTACGAGCCATTGCCTGATAAGAGCATGGACAGTGCGCAGGAATGTTCTCTGACTGCGTGCGATTACCTGTTTCGTACGGAGGAAAACGGCGATTTTTAAGTTCTACGACCACGTTGGCAACGATACATTGGCATCGTATGAGCTATCAACTATCGGATATATCTGTTTGCTCGCTTATTTATCTATTTCTCGATTCTTAATTCTTCTAAGAAACGTTTGAATCACGCTCTTGTCTCGACGAACAGAAAGCTACTCTCAGCTAGTCTGATATACGTTTCGACGAAATCCGCGGCAAGATATTGGAACGAAAAATCGTGCGTATCGACCACGATTAACTCATTTTTTGTCACCGATAGGCAAGTACGACTGTACTGCGAAAATGTCCGAAAGAACGTGGCAGGGTTTAATAACGACCTGTTTGTGTATTTTCGAAAGGATTGGAATTTTACAAGTAGGCCTTATCGTGCGGCTCTCCGCCGCTCCGAAGAAATACGTAACCGCATCGATAACCTTTCGCGTAGAACTTCGGCCGGTCGTTCCGAGACGACACGACTTTTCAGAAAATCTTACGCGTGCCCTTGGAAATTTCTCAACCGCGAAAGTAACGAAAACGAAAAAGGAAAGAGATTCGTCTTCTGATTCGTAGCAGAGAGGGGGGCAAAAAATGCGAAGATAAGAGCGAGAGCAATTTGTCGGCAGATAAGAGCAAGACGCGTTTACTGGAAGGAACGAAGGCGAAGCCGAAGTGAAAATAGGAGACGGCCAGACGCTGGCGTGCGAAACGAACGAAAAGAACAATCCAGAAGCTCGTGCAACGGCTCTCGGTCGGATTTCTTCCGTTCTAGGCCAGCACCGATTCTCTTTGCTGATCGCACAATGCGCTTCACGATGGTAAACCACTGCGAATATCAATATTTCTCTTACCAACGATACGCTTATCGTACGTGTGGTTTTTAAACGTTACATCTTGGTTGGAAGATCCGAGCTGCAAGACACGAAGTAACACGCGTTGAAGCTACAAGTGGTTCTTCTCTGGTATTATGGGATCCGTAGAGGGGATGATTTTTGCAGCAAAGTTTTCCATTTTACGTTAGACGACGAGGAAAATATCGTGTTCGATAAATGTATTACGACGCGAATATGTTTGTCGTTGATTGAATTGATCGAAGCTCGCTGCAAGTTAACTAGGGCACCGTCTATCTGTACAGGAATTTCATAAACCGGAACCGCGTGTACTTGAAATTCCGAAGAAACGGAGAAACTATCGAGTCGATTCGAACACCATAGAAGAAAAACGTGCCAAAGGATAGTGTTTCGATACGAAATACTCGAGAACGAAAAACACGGTACCGTTAGGTAAAGAAATATAAATCTCTTGAAAATATTAAGACAAGCAACGGTTTAACGATATCTTCGATATTTTGATATTATAGCGAGCAATGTTTTTCAACGTGCGGAACAATTTTGTGAAAGATACAGCGTACGACTTGTATTTTTCTCTTTTTCTCGCTTTGTTTTTGCCTTTGGTCCGGCTAAAAATCAATATCTCGACGAAAACACGTTTTTAATTTGTTCGTTCACCGTGGTAAGTATCGCTGCAGGTTCTCGTGAGAACGAGATCGTTTCCGCTTATTTCTCAACGTATCCGGGCTCCCAGTTACATCACACGTCGTTATCGCTTTACCCAATGCGAAGACAAAATATTGCTGGGATAAGTTGCACGCTATCCAACGTGTGAGAGAGGATGGGGACGATAATCGATGAGATACGACGACGCTAATCGCGTACGCAGAAAGACGAGGTACTTCTTTGCTCTCTTTCTCTCCACGATAAGCGCCACGTTCTTTTACCTTCGAGCGTTGCCACCGCTTCCGGTTATTGGACGGTGACCAACTGTTCTCCTCGAGTACCACGAAGTCACTGCCAAATTGATTTTTTCCCCAACCATGGCAATTTTCAGCATGGGCCACGAACACACGCGATCGTTTCGTTTAACCATGCTGCTCTCTTCTCCTCGCGTTTCCGCTTTAAACATTTGCCACCCCCTTCCCCTTTGCTTTTCGAACGCTCCATTCGTAGGAAGATATTGGGTTGGCAACTAAGTGATTGCGGATTTTGTCATTAGGTGGTACCGACAATATCCGCAATCACTTAGTTGCCAATCGAACAAAAGCAAAGTCGCGTGGGATATTCAAATCAATTTAAAAAACTATCCGTGTTTCGATAATATCTATCGAAATAGAAGATCCAACTGCAGGAGAAGAGGCGAGGTATGTTTGATGCGGTTTTCGACTTGCTAAAAAGTCGACAGAGCCAAGCAAGAACTCGTCGTCGTGTTCAGCAAGACCACATGGATACACAGAATTTTCAACGAGTTGTATATGCAAAGCGAGAAAAAATATTGTATTAAGTTACGCTTCATCGAGTCACACGAACTCGCAATCGCGCGTGTGTACACGTTCGCACACGAACGCGTGCCTTCAGCGAGATCCACTAAAGCGAGCGTTAGTCAAGTGCACTCGACGATTACTAGGCGACATACTCCACTGATCTTCATAGCCGTCTTTGCCTCGAGTCAAAGACTGCCGCTGAACGATACCGAAAAACCTTTCTATATATCTACCTTTTCTTTGTCTATCGTGGAAATCGGTCCGATTCGTCCTGGATTTCAAGAAAGAACGACAAGTATTTTTGGCCGGTTCGATCGTCTTGCCATTGCGATTTCGCGACGACAGTCGACGGTGTCACGGCTAAAATAGCGAGCAATGCTAAAAATTGAACGATTCCATGTCGATCGATTAAAGAGGATAAATTCCAAAGGGTACGAAGGTCGAGACCAATATCGTTCATCCGGAGCAACGTTGTTGGCCTGATCATTCGTCTGTTCGTCGGATTCTCGCCTTTTTTATCTCTCTCTCTCTCTCTCTCTCTCTCTCTCTCTCTGCCTTTGGTACACGTAGAGAGTGGACGCAGCAGCAACCTTTTAAAAAGCGAAACACCGCTACCTTCGAAATGGGCAATTTTAGCCGGGAAAAGGTTTTTTTGACCCGACTACTTTCGGACCCTGTTTTTTACTCGAAATACGAGTCCGTGGACCTTGTCGAAACTGAAAAGAACGGCAAGATAGAGAAAATGAAAAAATACAAACGCAGAAACTTTTTTAATCCTTACTTGGCCAACTGAAACGCTTACCGAAGTTCCACGTTTTAATATTCAAAAAGCTTTTGCATAAATTTTGTAAAGATATCCGTGCAATGAGGTAACGTTGCGAACGTAACGTATAATATCCAACATTACCGCGATACTTCGCTAAAAAAGAAAACGTCGTTGCACATTAGGGTTAAGAGGGCTTTAGAACATATTTTTCGTGAAAGACGGCTCCGAGTGGAGCGTAAGTAACAATAACGCCGAGAGGCAATTGGAATCGATCGGCCAAGGGACAATTACGAAAATAAAGCGTCGAACACAACGGCATCGGCTGTAAACTGGGGCTCGCGTCGGTGAAATCTTGGTAGAGTTGGTCGGAGACATCCGCAGGCCCGCGACGCCAGGCTTACGCTACTGAAAAGAGACTTCTGGATTCTCAGAGCGTGCCTGGTAAATAATAATACGTCGTTGCTAATGGAAACCTACTTCGCGTTGGCTTCTCCAGAGTAGGTTTCGCGAAAGGGAGAAGTGTGTCATGCACAAAAGCCTTTTCCAAATCGTCTTAAAGCTTTGTCACTATTATCATAATGATGTCAGATGCCTCTTTTTCTTTCTTTTCTCTCCCTTTTC